GTGATTGTGAAGAACGTTTCTGTCATTTATATGATCAGGAATATTTTTACACTGGATGGCTGTCAGTTCATTTGGCGAGCATCCAAGGCTTTCTATGCTCCCACTGCTCCGATTTCGACGCAAAGGGTTTGAGGCAGCAGAATCTGAAAGTAATAGAATGGCAATTAAAAATAAGCATTCATATTCCAAAGACACGTCTATCAAGTAAAATGCAAAATACTCTACTTATAAGTATACCACTATTTACAATTTAATTAATTGCAACATTTTCACCTTCATTTGATTAATTCTTATCAAGTTCTGTTACTTACCATGTTTCAGTTTTCCCTTATTTTCTTCCTTTCTCAGTGTTGATATTGGTTTAGCCATTGTAAAACCAGACTGACTTCCCCCTGCCACACTTGTTGGTTCCATTTCTCCAGATTCAATGGGAACACGCTCAGTTTTGGATTCCTTTTTGTTGCTTTTCAGGACATCTTGTAATACTCTACCAAACAGACCTTGTGTAGGTGGGCGATTCAGTCTAACAGGACGCTTATTGGAAGCATGATCATTCCTCGATGGAAGTTCTGGTTCATCCACAGTATCATAATCATGATGTCTTGGGGAATGCCCTTGTTCTTCTTTCCTTTTTATTCCCTTCCCAAGAGTGGGAAGTGGTTCACTTGGGATTAACAAGTCTTCATGTTCCATTTTGTTAGTTTTACTGATTTGGAAAGCATCTCTTAAAGGCAAAGATGAGTTTGAAAAAGAAGAAAAACTACTACCAGGACTTGTAAAGAGAGCCATAGGTCTCTTTTTATCATCTGCTAGAGCCTTACTTGATAAAGAAGCACCGAAAGAAACTGCTGAAGTACTACTCACTGGTTTGGAAAAACTGAAACCTGTATTAGTTGAACTGCTGCTTTCTTGAGAAATGACAAATGGGGCTAATTTTCCAGGTCCTGTGCTACCTGGAGAAGAAAATGTGAAAGAAGCAGAACCAGCAGAAGTTGATATTTTCTCTTGTTCTGAACTAGTACCAAAGATAGGCTTGAACACTGCCTTTTCAGGACTTTTGAAACTGAAATCTGGTCCCACAAAACCACTGCCTGAAGTTTTTCCAAGCACAACTCCAAAAGTAGAAGTACTCTGAGAATTGCCAAGATTTGTGGGTGGTCTAAAACTAAATCCTTGTTTGCTGGGAACAGAAGCAGTCATTGGTGCAGAAGTCACAAAGGATGTTGTTTGTCCAAGAGAATAAGACTGTGTAAACCCTGGAAGCTGCCCAAATCCCAATCCTTGCCCTGAAGAATTATGCAGTCCTGAAGTTATGGTAAAGTCAGGTAAGTGAGTAAATCCTGGATTCTTTACTCCTCCACTGTTCGGTCCAAAGAGAGAAAGCTGATTAAACTGGAACGGTGGTTGACCTGGAAATATTCCAGTTGGCACACTAGATGATGCTTGAAAAACTCCTGATGGCTGTCCACTGAAAGGAGTATTTGGATTCATTTTTTATGCTGATAATATATTAAATAGCTTTTGTCTAGAATCTTTTAGTTGTCATCTCTTAGTCCTGGAATACATAATTTAAGTCATAAAAATTAGTATACTAAAACAATCCTTTTAAGCTGATTTTTGTTTTAAAGAAACACAGTATTTTACATTTTTTTTATTTATTCCATTTCTATCCAGTTCTTGGATTGGTTTGCAATGTTATTCTCCAATAAGACATATTCCACTTTAAGAACTGAATTGTACTACCAAGGATATACCACAAATGCATTTGATCTGCATCTAGGATACAAATGCAGCACAGCCATCTCATTAAAATGAGTCTTATAACTATAAAGCTCACTAAAAAACATTGAGCACATCACTATCAGTTTCTCACTGTCAAATCTAATTTGAAACTAAACTAAAAATTTGAAAGAAAAGTATCTTGCAATAAATCATTTGTGGAATAATAACTCTGATTATTTTGGCTATGGACCCAACTAATAGCCAGTTAAAATAATGGTTTAAAAATCTATTTTAAGAACAAACCACACACAAAAAAAATAGTCAAAGATACACAAATATAAATTGTTCTTATTCTCATAGAAAATGTATCTTCAGTACATATGGAGATACCAGGCCTCGGTTAGTTAACCTTCCAATAATAACTAAATCTAAGTTAATCCTTTGGCCTTCCATCCTCTTCTGAAGTAACTTGTTTTCAAGTATTGTTACTGAACGTAAGTAATGAAACAGAAGGACTAAACAGGCACTGACCAAAAAGGGAGATATGCTAGGCTTCTATTTTTTCTTTAAAAGGTTTAAGATAGTAAATGTGTATGTGAACTAAACTACTTCAAACTAAATGAAAGCTCACATGGTTGGCTGGTACTCCAATTCCTTGTATATATATTTCCTATATTGTATATGTAACACATAGTTGTATATATGTTAATCCACAATTTAATGGACTGAGAAAGGGGCACCCATTAAACAAGCATAGCTATTAAATTCAAATAAAATTTTACACATGCATATTTTATGCATTTTACACACACATAAAATGGGAATGTTTTTTTGCACATGCTCAGAAGCATAGGGTATATGGACAGATTTTGTCCATTGCTAAAACGTGATCCATTAAGTGAAAAGTTTATAATAAATTCTTCAAGTGCAGAGAAGCGTACAATCATATGAACATCTGACTAATCGTACTGCCTTCTTAAATAACACAGTTCAGATAAACGTTACTATTCTATAACAGTTCTTTAAGTTAACCCCTCTCCCCCATAAAAGCTAATATTATACTTTTTCAAGAGATAGTTAGGATTAAAAAAAATAAGGGCTAAGAACAGAAGCATGGAACTGAGCATTAGGAGAATGGTGTTGGAACTGATGGAAGGTCTATCTGTTTCAATACTGTTTCCACAATAACCAGACACAATGCCTATGGGAAGCCAACAGGCAGATCACAAGGGTAAAAGTGCCCGCTGGTTTGTGGTTCCCATCATCTGACATTGGAAGACAAGTTGCCTGTGATACTAGTGATAATAATTGTTATCAACATTAATCTTCCATGAATTTTAAAAGTCATTCAGACTCAGAGATCACCACTATCCCTTGTGGGAATAATTAGCACAGTTTATTGTATTTATTTTACTTATATTACCACCATACTGGAAAGACTCAAAGCAACTTACATTTAAAAACTCATTAAACCATGGGGAGGTACATAAAAATGATTTCAGCCATCCCTCATCAGATTACAAAACCATTTCAGCCCATGAGCTTTCTGAAAAGCCAAGTTTTCAATGCCTTTCTAAAGCAGAACAGGGATAGAGCTGCAGGCCTCTGGGAAAACGGTAATCCAGAGGGCAAGAATGATGACAGAGAAGAGAAGCATCCAGGATCCCACAAAATGGCACTGTTTAAGTCTCAACTGTCAGCCTTACAAGGTAGTCCAGACAAGAAGCACACCCGGAAGAACTCTTATCCGACCCTTGCCCTGGCTGCGGTTCTTCCCCATCTCCCAAGGTCATTCCCACACACCATTACATCAACCTGGGCAATTTAAAGAAGTGTGGGCTTCGACTCCCCAGAATTCCCCAGTCAGTCAAAGTTGAGAAACACTGGTTTAAGAAATGGGACCTAGAGCTTGCTCAACTTGTCAGATTTGTAGGATGAGCAGAGGCAGTTGGAGAAAGGTGATCCCATTGCTACTCAGGCCCTGAGCCATGTAGGGTTTTATAGCTGACAACCAAAACCTTGAACTGCAATTTAAACTCAATACGCTTGGTACTGTATAAAGCTGAACTTCTTTTAATCTGTTCTGAATCTTCCACCAGCTCCACTGGATAACCCCGGATGCTAGCATTAATAAAACGGAGAATTTCTAAGCACGCCCAACCAAAGATGTAACCTACCCCAACCGTGGAAATGGTCCCCTCTCTTGATCATTTTGACTGCCTCTTCTCACCCCAGCAACATCCATCGTAAGAGACAAGGACCAAAGCAAGTGGAACACCATTATTTCCCCTAATCACCTTAGCCAGTAAACCTCCAACCTGAGCTTTAACTTGGCCTCCTGGTTTCCACTTGCGCTGCCTGGGCCCAACAGTGAAAAGGAGAGAGGGGAAAAAAATACCTTTGAACCTGAATGGAGGACGCTTCCCTCAACACTACAAAATCCAGCGTGAGACCCGAATTCTCTCTTTCTCTCTCTCGCATAAACAAACCGCCATTGGGCCGAACGGGCGGAAGAGTTGAGCTCCACCCCCGGAAGAAGGGCCTCCGCGCAGCTCCCCGGCTTTCACGCGCAGCGCGGAAGTGTCCCAATGCGACGGAGCATCGCCGAGGCGCATGCTTATGAAGAAGAGGGGGTGGTGCTAGGACAGAATCACAATCAAGGCGTCTGCGGGTAGCGTAGCGTTTCGGTTCCCTTTTACACCTCTCACCGAAAATGAAGAGATGCAGAGAACAAAGCAGCTTTAAAAATTAAAGAGTTTATTTTAGCGGAGCTTCGCCCCCTTTTTCCGAATTCTCCATTTTTTCTATTATTTTGCGAGAAATAGTGGCGGGGAGAGGATTACATATTTGAAAGAGCGACTATGTCCATTTACAAATATATGGATTAGGAAGGGCCCGGAGGCAGCCTTTTAAACAGAGTAGTTGGGGAAGTGTTTAGCACGGACGAGTTTTGCGGCAAAGGCATATTTCCGAAAAACCCACTTCTGCTTTGAAAGTTTAGCCCTAGATTAGAGCAGTGTTTCTCAACCTTGGTAACTTTAAGATGGGTAGACTTCCATTTGAAGTCCACCTATCTTAAAGCTGCCAAAATTGAGAAATACTGGGTTAGAGCATCCACGATCACTTTCTAAATTACAATCGGCCCCTCGCAACTTTTAATAACGGGCACCGACATTAAATTTCAACGTTACATTTAAGTAAAATCTCCCCACCGCCCCAACCCCCCCCCAAACCCGAAAGTACGTAACGACCTCGTTTT